GAGAGAGAGAGAGAGAGAGAGAGAGAGAGAGAGAGAGAGAGAGAGAGCACTTAAGATGTAGGCTCAGTACCTTAAATGCCCCCTCGAGTCTGCCGGTTATCTGTCCGTTTGATTGAATGAAGCAGGGGTGAGTGTGATATGTGATAAGATTAGGGATTATGTCGGGATGAAGAGAAAGTTTACACTCCTGTGTTCAGCACCCATCCACAAGGCCAATAACCCTAGCACTATCAATTATGATGAAGTAAAGGAATTACTGAACCCACGTTGAAATGGTCATAAAATATCTATTAAACAAGACAAAGAGTGCGCAGGCCTGCTAGCGACTCTGAGGTTGTACTTGGACACAACAGCATGCGTACGTGCTCACAGTGACAATGCTAACATTCTGATGTTAAGCAGGTAGAATGTTTACCATGTAGTTTACAGTGTTAGCATGCTAACTGCAGCTATCAATGAGTATTTTAAATTCTAAATATAGAAAATGGAATCGTACAAAAAAAGCATTTATATATGGAAATAAATATGTGATTGTGAAAAAAAAAAACAAAAAAAAAAAAAAGAGCAATACAGAAGCTGTGTGCCTCGTGCACACTGCACTGCTCCTCGTGCATGACGGGAGTCAACCAATGTCACTTTCATTAAATGAAAAGTGAAATGTAGGGTTTTACAAGAAATCCCCACTGTAAAGAAAGTCTCCAATCCACGCCGAGTTTGATAAACGTCTCTGCTCGTCTGTCAGCAGCAGCTCCTGGGACAGCGGCTCGCTAACCGGCCTTCCCCAGGCTAAGTGACAGGAGACATTAACTGGACCTAAATAGTTTTCATGCCGGCTCCATGGGAAGAAATCAGCGTTTGTAGGCCAAAGTATAGATTAATTGATTTTATTTCGTCGCCGGTAGTGAACCAGGCGAGCTCACAGACAGAATGGGAGCCTTCATCAATCAATATAAATATGGTTAAGTTCAAAACACATACACCATACATACATAAACCTGTATTTTTGTGCTTTATAAGAATTAATATTCTAACATCCTTTTTTCAGCCCTATTGCTAACATTTGCTTGTAGCCCGACACACAGCGCTCGTAGCGCTAAGAATGCCGGGAATGTATTATGTATGAATGTAGTATTCCAAGTATTCAACAAGTTAAAATTTTGACCCGACAACGGCGTGACAGGAAACGTCAGAGAATGAATGTCTGAACCACATTTCATGGCTCTCCATCTCATAGTTATTGATCCCATCTTGTCGATGTAGAGATATTTCACTGGATAAGTGAAAACTTTGACCTCTTAGTGGCGCTACATGAAGAGTAAGGGATTCACCATGAATATCATCATCTGGGCACCATGAATATCTGTACAAAATGTAATGGCAATCCGTCCAATAGCTGTACAGACATGTCACTAAAATCCAAAAATGTCAATCTCGTGGTGGCGCTAGCAGAACACCCAAAGGATCTCCAGAGTCAGTAGGTTGCATCATCTCGAGAACATGGATGTCTGTACAAGACCTCACCGCAATCCATCGAATAGACAATTCAGTCTGGACCAAAGTGGTGGACCTACATTGCCATCTGTAGAACTATACCGCCAGATACAATATACACTTAAAACTGTAAAAATGGTGCATTCTCATACAACTGGCAACATGTTACAATCTCACACCAGGAAGGGAAATACTGTTGGAAACTTTCACGTGACCTTGCTTTAATTAAATAACCCCCCCTGCTTCCCCTTTGCTGTCACTACCACCTTGCAGGAGCTCGCACATCAGGAAGAGGCCCCCCTCAGCTGTCTGCTCGGCATCCTGCCCCGAATCTCCCTCTATTCAAATGGAGCCAGGACACTTGATGAAAGATGGGTTCTGGCTAGGTTATTATTATCTAGGTGGGGGAGATCAGCCACTGACAGGTGGCTGCCATCAGGGTGGGAAGTGGGTGTTGTGGAGAGTGGAAGGGGATGATCTGCTGTGCGGTGGCTAGAAAGACGCCTTGACCTTCATGGCTGGAGACAGGCCCCTGTTTTGACAGCGTAGAAGAAATAATTTAAAAAAAAAACCCTACGAGTAGTGTGGAGAACGTCTAGACAGGAGCTGGTGAGCTGAGAGAGCCTAGTGTCCGTGCCCACTGCTGCTGTAGTGAGAAAAAGGACCCAGAGAAAATAGCCTCTGACAGGGTGGCAGGGATTAAACCAACACTGCATCAGTCAGGCCCGTTTTCTGAGGAGAGCCGAGAGCTGAGACAGAAAAAGAGGGAGAACGAGAGAATAAAGGTGTGCTCATATGCAAAGAGCTTTGAGAGGAGTCATAAATGAATAAATATGTTAATAAAAAACTGCTACTGCGCAAAATTAAAGAGTTCAAAGCAAGATGAAATGGAGTGTCCTGTGGGCATGTGCAGCGGAGAGGGACGGCACAGAGGAAATGACTTTTGCTTGAAAGAAGAAACAAAAAAAAAAAAAAAAAGGGAACGAGTGGAAGAAGAAAGATGTGAAGCCCAATAGGGAGATTGCATTGTTTGAGGTGTGGAGAAAGAAAGGTGAGAGTATTGACACATTGATGAGGACTTAAAAAAAAAGAAAAAAAAAAAAAGATGGTTTTAAAGAGGGTATGTTAAATATATTAAAAAGGCATGTAATGTTCCAGGTAAGGTAATGGCGTGAGAACGAGGCAGGTGTTCATTCCTTCTGCCTGAGTGACCGATTGAAAACCTGCATATTATGAGATATTATAGCGGTGTCAGCAATTATGAATGGTACGCTGTAATAAAATGCATTCACACTGCATTGCAAAGACAGTATGATGAAACTATGTATACCATTCTCACAGAAAAAAAAAAAAAAAAAAAAAAAAAAAGACTCACACCACACGCTGTGGTTAACATTGAGACCACACTCTGCTGGGACACATGGAGAGGGTAATGATGTCCTCAAAGATCAGAGGGAACATGGCGCATGGTAAAGAGCAGGGCGGTCATTATCTGGTAGTATGACAGACGTGAGATGGCCTCTAACACCCTGACAAAAGGTTGGTCCCTAATGAGTGCGGAGCGGAATGATGAGTGGATGGAAAAGGGAGTAGTAGCATGTACAAATCAGAGACAAGTCATACCTTTATGTTCAAACGAGACACCGCGTTGAGCAAGGGGAAAGAAGGGCACATGTCTGAAGTTAATCAGTAAAGGCACCAGCGAGCACTGTTAAGCAGCTATATGTAATCTTAGACAGCAATAGATCGTACATTCTGGTCAAGATGCCTCCATGATTTCAGTACTGTGCAATACGCAGAGTGTATATCTGCACCTGATACACAACAACTCATTTATTTGACTTGTCACAGCAATTAGAAACACCTCCTGCTGAAAGTGGTTTGGTTATTAAATTATTGGTTGGATGAAAACCCCTTTCTTTGGGGGGGGGGGGGGGGGGGGGGGGTGGGTTGCATAATCAGTTCTCCGCTTCCATTTGTATCACACACGGCCCACTGTGAAAATGCGGAGGACGATTTCCATCTCCATTTATTCACTATATCTTGGGGACACAGAGGAGGAGATTAACATTGCACAACATCTCCAATCACATCGCATGCGATCTGAGTAATGCGGTCATCATCCTCAGGCCTAACTCATTTCCCAGTAATGAGTGCAAATCAACTCCCAGTCTGTTTGCCAGTGACAGCAGCTGGCACAGAGAACGTCGCGTCCACAATCGGTGTCGCTTTCACCCTCGTTCTCTCTGTGCACTTTGGAAATACCTATTCTCTTCCACCCCCGCTTTATCTCTCCACGTAGCCAATGGGTGGGCAGCAGCAGAGTGAGCTTTGGTCTGATATTTAACAAAGCCTTCGAGGTCTGTGCCATGAGAAGTGGGGGTGGGGGGATGGTGGCTGGTAAGGGACAGATTTCAGGCTGTTTGCCCAATCCAGAGAGAGTGAGATATGGCTACCATCTGCATGGAGGGAGAGAGAAAAGGATCAGGGCGTCCCTCCCCGGCGTGCATGTGTGCTGTAATGAAAGTAATGTGGCGGCTAAATGGAGACGACTAATCAAACTCTTGGGAGAGAGGAGAAAACAAACACGAGCGCACACACACACACAACCACAATTCCAATAACACAGAGAGCCTGAGCCTTCCTATGGAGACACGCCATCAACACCAGAATGAAGAAAAAAAAAAAAAAAGACCTCTCAAAATTCAGGATCTGTGCTCATCATGACAGTAAGCCTCCTGGTTATGTTGCAGGAGAGTGTTAATTGCTGCCAAATGTAGTCTTTAGAAAAGGCAAAGGTCTGAAATGACTGTCTGTAGGACCATTATAACAAATGGCGTACTTTAGACGTATAATTGTTCTATATCCCGATGTTTGTTTGGAGTTAGAGCCAAGCGGCTGAAACATAATTCATAATTCAGGGGTATTCCGGGCAGCACTTATGAGTATAAAAACAAACAACAATCTGTGCTTCCATTTGCTTCCATCTAGTGACACATGGCGCGTCTTTAAATAACGTCAATTATGTTGTCAACTGCATACTGATAGCTTCAGAAAGCTATTGGAGCAGCTCTAGCTTTTGACTCACTCTTCGTCAGGGCTGTGCCACATCCACGACTCACTGATATTGGGAACAATTAACTAATTACCTAAAATAAGTAGGTTAAAAGTACCAAATACAATGCAGGATATTGATGACATAAAACAGGGCATCAATCTGATTAGCTTTACTAATTGCAAGTAGCAAACTGGACATGGTCACGCTGTTTTCCCTTTATTGATTGATGTTAATGGCCTGACAATGTTCAGTGTAACAGCCATTGCTTCACAATATATATTTAAACACACTAGGGCCGCCCCCTTTTAGTCAATGAGTCAACTAGTTCGTCATTTTGGTCTTATTCCACTAAGATTTCTTTAGTTGATTAGACATCTTTCA